TCAAGTTGTGAAGGTTTCTGCGTGTAATTGTTTGCCACTTTGAGGGATAGGTGTTTGAAGATGAAGACACTGTGAAGGTGATGAGACTGTGATCAGAGAAAGGAAAGGGGGTGTTTGTGAGGTTGTATGGAGTGCAAAGTTGAGAGAAAACAAGGTCTAGTATATTCCCATCAGAGTGAGTGGAGGGCTGTATACATTGTGCTAATGCAAAAGATGAGGTTATGTTGAAGAGCTGGGATGTAGCCGGGTTGTTGACATTAATAGGGATGTTAAAATCTCCGAGAATGATAGTGGGTAGTTCAGAGGAGAGAAAGTAGGGTAGCCAGGCGGAGAAATCATCAAGAAAGCGGGACACCGGTCCAGGAGGCCGATAGATCACTGCAATTCTCAGAGAAATGGGAGAAAACAACCTGATGCAGTGAGTCTCGAAAGAAGAGAAGGGTAGAGAGGGAGGGTTAGGGAGAACATGAAAGGTGCTCAGTGGGGATAAGAGCAAACCAACTCCACCACCTTTCTGACCACTGGGTCTGGGTGAGGGAGTCCAGAGAAGGCCTCCATAGGAAAGTGCTGCGGGAGAAGCAGAATCTGCTGCTTGGAGCCAGGTTTCTGTAATTGCTAGTAGGTTAAGGGAGCGGGAGACAAAAAGGTCATGGACAGAGATGAGCTTATTACAGACAGAGCGGGCATTCCGGAGCGCTCATGAAAAAGGGAGGGTGGTTTTTGGGAGCACGGGGACCGATATTAAATTGAGGGGGTTGCGGCTATTCCTGGAAGAAAGAGGATGCCTGGTGTGGGGGTGAAGATACTGGAGGACCAGGGTTTGGGGAGATCTCCCCAGAGGTTAGGAGAAAAGAAGAAGGGTGAGGAAAGTAAGATGGGAGTGGGATGTACATGAGTGCACATGCCTTCCAGTCCTGGTGTTTGGGTCAGCAGAGTAGTTAGTCATATGTAACCATTGTAAGGATACAAGATGCAGAAAGAGTAACAGAAGAGGAACGGGGTTTAAAGAGGTGAAGGGCAGGGAGCACTGGGGAGGAGAGAGGGTCAGGATCCTGGGGCTTGAGTGGGCAAGAGTGAGGAGTTGAGGACACAGTATCAGGTGCTAAGTGGTTGTCAACATGAAAGCAGGAGAGTAGAGTTGAAATGTGGGGGGGGGGGGAATAACCAATCCTATATTTGTAGTACAGCACAAATGAAACCACATGTATTTTTCTGCTCTGAGTACAGCTAATGCAACATTCCTGGTCAGTCTCATCATTCTCAATGGATCCTGGAAAGTTCTTGGAGGAATTTCCTCACTGGCTTGAAAAACTTTCCATTCGTTACCAGGGCAACATCATCATCATTATTGACTCCATTGACCAAATAGAGGTAAGAGCCAGTTGTTTTTATAAAGTTGTATTATTTTAATTTACAAGAATTGCACACCATGGTAACATTGAGAATATTTGTTCTGCCTTAAGAACTCAGATATTAGATTTACAATTATGTTTCATTTGGTGACAGTGAATCATAGAAGAAAATACCATCCTTTTCCACTACATTAAAATGGTTTGCTTAAAGTAAGCTGTCTAATAGTATTTAAATAACCTTCCAAGGCTACTGACCCATAATTTCCTTTATTCTTAGCAACCAGAAAAGCATATGAAATGGCTCATTGATCCTTTACCAGTGAATGTTCGAGTAATTGTCTCAGTGAATGTGGAAACGTGTCCCCAGGCATGGAGGTGAGTAAAGTCACTAATAACTCCCAAGGAATATCTTTGGTGAGTAAACTACTAATAATTGTATGCTGGCATGTTGTAACTCTTGTCCCCAATTTTCTCCAAAGGAATATCATATATTTTAAATGGTAGCTTCACCTTGCCATACTGTAGGTTACTGCCTAGACCTCAACACTTGTATACCACATTTACAAAAAAAAAAAGTACAAAATTAGATTCTACACAGAAGCTACGCAAAACCCCAGACGCTAAAATTATATACTTTCTCCCCTGAAAGTCCAAAATATGTAGTCCAAATGTCCTAAACACCCATGGGTATGATTATCTTCTTCATCAATATTCTTCCTCCAAATGTGAAATTTCTTCTTATTCCAATTTAACCTTCGATAGAAAAATTATAATCGCACATAGTGCATTATCCACAATATGTGAAAAGCATTCACAAAAACGCACTTCCAAACTAATGCCAAATCGTGCAAAACAACTCCATCGTGTGTCCGCTTCTAAACATCTGTCATCCTTACTCTTCCTATGTAAATTTGAGAAAAGCTTTAACAAATTCCACCTCCAAATTCCTCCGTGGTTCAACTTCCCAAATCTGTCCTCCTCTGCATAAGAAATGCACTTCCGAAGAAATCAGATACAGTGTACTATCTTCAAGACAATATACACTCTCTTGTGCTCCCCTCACGTCTCCACAAATCATCAGTGTATGTGAGCACACTCTGCACCACCTCATAGACCATGCACCTTACCAGATGATATAAATCCACCAGCATCAATAGGCATAGGCTCCTCTCATTCCAGAATATATACGATCTCCAACGGCATCGTAACATTTGTCAGAACAAATCAATTTAGCGTAGTAGGCAATAGTAGGAATTGGGCTGCTTCGCAACTTCTGGTTTACGCCCAACGCTACAACTGACGCATTTCATCACTTCCTACTTCATCAAAGGCTGTATACGTCGGACTGGCGGCCAGTTGCAGAGCGGCCATTTTGGAGAAGGTTTTTACATACCATTCTGTATTTGTGAATGAATATTTGCTGAGACACAGCAAAGATCCTTTCAGATGAAGTCCGGAAGTGACGAAACGCGTTAAAGGAGTGACGTCAAGACGCACGTACGCAGACCGGAAGTGCCGCCGCGGCCATTTTTAAGGTTATCAACACATGGTGGAGGAAATGTTTGGTGGAAACAGATAGACATGTTTCTCAGCACCATAAGTGTTAGCATGAGACTTTGCAGGGAACTGCAGCCTCTACTGCACAGAGTGACTACTGAGTTTATCTGGAGCTGTCTTCAAGTGTTTGGGCAGTAAATCACGCAGTTGCTTCCTGTGCCCGGAAAAGCCAAAGGTTTTCATTTATGAAGCTTATTATGAGTTTTGGGTATGTCCATGGGTCCATACTCCCCTCCCTCCTAGATTGTAAGCTCCAAGGAGCAGGGCCCTCGAACCCCTTGTGTATTGTACTGTATTGTTACTGTATTGTCTCATGTACTGTCTCCCATTATAATGTACAGCGCTGAGCAAACTGTTGGTGCTATATAAATACTGTATAATAATAATATTGTTTGTTTACAAATAAGGATTTGTTTTTGGCGGTGCTATTTTTCATTCACTGATGCCAAGGTGAGTGACTCCGAGATGCCTAGAGGATCCTACCCATACCCAATAAGTGCATCAATCTGTTTTACATTTAGGTCCTGGATTGTATATTTTTTCCATTATTTATTATTATTATTATTATTTAGAGCACCTATTTTCAGTTCTTCCAATCTTTCTTTGATTTACAGGTTGTGGCCAACTCTTCATCTCGATCCATTAAATTCTAAAGATGTGAAGGCACTTTTAAATCTGGAGTGCAACGGAGCCAGTATTGTTTTGACCAAAGAACAGGTTAATTGTTTTACTTTATTTTTGTTTACTTTTTTATTTTAATACTTTTTATTGCATGAGATTTCTGTTGGGGTTTACTCTTTTCTATTGTTGCTGCTTAAGTTCATAAGTCTACATCTCTGATGGTTTTTCTCTGTATTTAGGCCTTGTTTACACAGGGGACTCTTTAAAAATAGGCAGTTAAACTGTGGGTTTACTACGCCCCAACTGTTCAGGTGCAAGTTAACATGGCCCCTGGCCATGGTAGTACACACTACAGCTGTTGCAATTCACAGACAGTTTCATTGTCAAACACAGTCTTTTCAAATGAATAGAGGTGATGTAGCCATCCAGCAACTGTTTGTAATGCACGTGGTTGCAGGGCAGTGTTACGATGCAGGCTTTTAAGAGTTAAAACTGAAGTCCAAGAGGCAACCTATCACCCCTGAGCCGCCTGTCAAATTCTTCCAAAAAGTGATTCACCACATATTGCTTTTCAGAGGGGAGGCAATAGTGGCCACAACTGTAAACGAGCATAAATGAAAATATTAGAAATGAAAAAGTTAAACAGCCTGGATAATCTGGGTGAATTTGCCAGACTTGTTGCTATATGAGCTTTTTCTCTGGGCTGCTTGAGGAGCCAATAAGGAGAGGGAGTCCTGGGAGAGCCATGGTTCTTATGCACATCACTTGATCGACGTGGGGCTCAGGTAAGTATAAGGGGGAGCTGAGGAGGGAGCAGCAACCAGAAGGCTTTTTTTTACCTTCATGTATAGAATAAATGACGGCAAAAAAACTGCTGTTTTCAGCTGTCAGCGGGTTAATGTCTTCTGTCGGCTGACTTCACACAGCTGGTCCAGGGTGGGGAAAGATCCCAACTTTAAAGCTGGGATCCACACAGATCCCTGAACCGTCACCTGGCTCAGTCTCTCGGTGATCCACTGAGCCAGCTGCTCCCACTCTTTCCACAGCCCAGTGCTACAGTGAGCACTGGAGTGGCAGAGCAGAGATTCAGAGACTGATCCCAGCTCTCTGCTCAGAGTGGAGGGAGAGAACTGAGCAATCAGTGGTGTCTGATCATTCAGTTCGCACCCTTAGAACCGGCAGAGGACAGATGCAGCATCGGATCGATGCTGCATCAACCTAGGATGTGTAATTAGAAAAAAAAAATTCTAAATTTCTGTTTTAAAGAATGGTCAGGCTGCAGTGGGCAAGCTAATCTAACTAGCATGTTGCAATGCTTAGTGAGCATCAGAATGTTTCTGGCCTGTTCTCAGTGAGGTCAACAAACATGGTACTGTGGAGTTGGTGATGGGCCTTTTTACCATTCAGGAGCATTGAATGGAAATATATTTGATATTTTATGAGATACATTGTGTTTTGTATCATTTTTTACAGGAAAGAAATCTGGAAAAGCACTGTCGGTCTGCAACACCCTGCAATCCCTTATATGTTACTTTGCTGGCTAGATTTCTCATTTGGTATGTTAAGGAGGACATTGATTCACTGATCTCTTTCTGCTTAATTCGTCTTCTTAGACACAATCAACTTGTGCAAAGAACTGGAACATCAATTGCTTTGCACAATTGTATTACCCTACATAAAAGCACAGTTAAAATTTGATCATGAGGTGGATAACTGTCAGGCGAGGCTAATGTATGATGAGGCAAATTTACTAATAGATGTTTTACAATTAAAATTGGTTGCATTAAAATATATAATCCTTTGGATTTCAATATTATTTGTATGGAAATGATGTTCAAATTGGTCTTTCTGCTATTATCCTGTCCTTTTTCCTGAAGAAAGTGATGGCATGCCTTACTACTGTTTTGATTGTATGTCCACCTACTGCTCAGAATGTAAAGTGGATAAAACTAAAGTGGTTATTATTCCTATTTTCCTCATCTCCTCAAGCTTGCTGCTTGGGGAATAATTTTGACACTGAAGTCTCATTCTCTCCACTCATTCATGCTTTGATAACTACATTTCATCTTTGGCTAAGGAATATCTGATCTACCCTTTTTCTCATGCATGATACATCTAAATACTGATGCATGTTCTAATTTATGCCACCTTGACTAATGCAGTCCTTTTCTTTTGTCTCTTACCTAGTATACAGATTGGGCTCATTTTGTATGTTTTGAATGCTTCAGCTCAGCTCAGCAATCTCTGTTTCCACTCTGTGATTTCTGCTTCTTTCTCTTAGTCCCTGCACTGTCTCTCCACTGTCCACATAGTACAATTGGTAATCTCTGTTATAATATGTGCAGCCCCCAACAGTCTGGTCCTTCTTTATCTCCAAGTATACAGTATAGGCATTCAGAATCTTGACTGCACCCATGAACTTCTTTCTTGCTTCCTAGTCGCTAAGCCCTGGTTCACCTATATGCGGCTGTGCGGACCGCGTTTTGCACGGTCACGAGAACCCATTCATTTTGAATGGACTGCCATGCCCCGTGACATGCAGGGAAGAAGTCCCTGCACTATTTGGAAACCACAGCCCGTACGGGAACCTCGGTTCCCAGTACGGTTGCATTTTCCAGTGCGGGCGGCGTGCCATTAGAACTAATGGCACCCGCCCGCAGGTCTGCATTCCTCTGTGTGGGTGGTGCTGCACGGATTTTCGTGCGGATCCGCAGCGGAACCACCCGCAAAGGTCCTCTCACTTGGTGCTCCCCCCCCCTCTTCTGTGGATTATCAAGCATTCACTATCTTTCCAAATCTTTAAATGCATTCATATTCAGAAATAAATTTAACCTTCATTTACAATCACATCATCTCCCTGCCAAAATGTATTCTTTGATAGAGAAAACCTATAGAAAACTCCTTCTTACTGGCTTCTGACCTTCTAGTTTCTTCAAGCTGCTTTTTCTCCAGACAGATAGATAGTACAGCAGAATGTTGATGTCCAGCTATATTGTGGTATCTAAAATCAACACTGGCAGCCCAACTAATACCCATTTATGACTGGCTTAAGCCAAGCTGGGACAACACAGGAATAATGCTTGTACTACAACAGAGGCAGCAGTTATGTCTTTGTTTTATATTCAGTTATGTTTTCGTTTGACACCTTACACAACGCCATCTACACACAAACTACGGGACTGATACCATGTGCCTTCCTCATAAACACCTTGCCCCAGTATGTATCAAACTGACAGGGTCTCTTCCATTAACAATCCTATATGGGGTAGTTCCCTTCTTTCTGAGTTCCTTTCAGTGCTCAGCATGGGCTATTGGTCCTCCAGCAGTTTTACATGTTGCATCAGTTGTTTCACGAGAGCCAAATGAAGAATGTTTTCCTACAATACAAACAGTTTGGGGTTCCCTTAACACATCTTCTCTTTTATCTGTTACTATCCTCAGTGGAGACCAAACCGATATCTGTGTACTGTTTGAAACTTCTTAACAATAAGTTGTTATCTTCCGCCACTAGATGTAGACCTAAATGGCATGAAGTGATTTGTGCTTACAGTGAAGGAAATAAGTATTTGATCCCCTGCTGATTTTGAATGTTTGCCCACTCACAAAGAAATGATTTGTCTAAAAATCGAATGGTAGGTGTATTATAACACCGAGAGACAGAATAGCAGCAAAAAATTCAAAAGAAATGCATGTCTAACAAATTATGCACTGATTTGCATGTTCGTGAGGGAAATAAGTATTTGATCCCAAGTCATTCAGCAGGATTTCTGGCTACCAGGTGTCTTTCATACAGGTAACAACCTGAGATTAAAAGCAGTCTCTTAAAGGGAGTGCTGTTAATCTCATTTTGTTATCTGTATAAAAGACACCTGTCCAGAGGAGCAATTAAACAATCAGATTCCAAATTCTCCACCATGGCAAAGATCAAAGAGCTGTCCAAGGATGTCAGGGACAAGATTGTAGACCTACACAAGGCTGGACTGGGCTACCAAACTTTCACCAAGGAGTTTGGTGAGAAGGTGACAACAGTTGGTGCAATCATTTGCAAATGGAAGAAACACAAAACTGTCAGTCTCCCTAGGTCTAGTGCACCATGCAAGATCTCAGTTTCAATGATCATGAGAACAGTGAGGAATCATCCCAGAACTACACGTGAGGATCTTGACAATGATCTCCAGGCAGCTGGGACCACAGTCACCAAGAAAACAATTGGTAACACACTACGCCGACAAGGATTGAAATCCTGCAGTGCCCGCAAGGTCCATCTGCTCAAGAAAGCACATGTCCAGGCCCATCTGAAGTTTGCCACCGAACATCTGAATGTTGCAGAGGAGGACTGGTTGAAAGTGTTGTGGTCAGATGAGACCAAAATTGAGCTCTTTGGCATCAACTCAACTCGCTGTGTTTGGAGAAGGAGGAATGCTGCCTATGACCCCAAGAACACCATCCCAACTGTCAAACATGGTGGTGGAAACATTCTGCTTTGGGGGTGTTTTTCTGCTAAGGGGACAGGACAACTGCACCGCATCAAAGGGATGATGAACGGGGCAATGCACCATCAAATCTTGGGTGAGAACCTTCTTCCCTCAGCCAGGGTATTGAAAATGGGTTGTGGATGGGTGTTCCAGCATGACAATGACTCAAAACACTTGGCCAAAGCAACAAAGGAGTGGCTCATGAAGAAGCACATTAAGGTCCTGGAGTGGCTTAGCCAGTCTCCAGACCTTAACTGATCTGAAAATCTGTGGAGGGAGCTGAAAGTTTGAGTTGCCAAACATCAGCAACCAAACCTTAATGACTTGGAGAGGATCTGCCAAGAGAAGTGGGCCAAAATCCCTCCTGAGATATGTGCAAACCTGGTGGCCAACTACAGGAAACGGCTGACCTCTGTGATTGCCAACAAGGGATTTGCCACCAAGTACTAAGTCATGTTTTGTGAAGGGAATCAAATACTTATTTCCCTCATGAACGTGCAAATCCGTGCATAATTTGTTAGACATGCATTTCTTTTGAATTTTTTGTTGCTATTCTGACTCTGTGTTACAATACACCTACATTCGATTTTTAGACTGATCATTTCTTTGTGAGTGGGCAAACATTCAAAATCAGCAGGGGATCAAATACCTATTTCCTTCACTGTATGCAGTCAGGAGGTAGACTTCTTTCATGCCTTGTTATTGTGTCCCTGGATACAAAGATATTATTATTATTATTATTATTATTATTGGTCACAAGTATGTGAATTTCTCTAGTCAGCTATGGATTACAGCTCTCCTGCTTTACAAACTTGCATACACTATTAGGGGGTCTCCTAAAAGCTTTGAAATAATTGGGGGCCTTGGACCCATCTCTCTTCATACTATTTCTATTCTATTTAATCCATGTATGGCTGGCTTAAAGTAATTCTAAAGGTTAATATCTAAAAAAATAACTAACATGTTATATTTACCTGCTCTCTGCAAAACCATGGATGGATCCTCTTCTTTTTTGGGTCCCCTGCCAACAGTCTTGGCCCCTCCCCCCTGCCGAGTGCCCCCAATAGCAAGCCTTTTGCTACGAGGGCACTCAAGCAAGCTCACTCCCGAGCCACAATCCTGAGAATGGACATTGTCTATTCACACACAGAACATGGCCCCGGCCGCTACCCCCCCTTCCTCATTGCCTCACTGGCTGTAATTGGCAGCAGTACGAGCTAATGGCTCCTGCAGCTGTGTGAGCTAATGAGTAGAGAGAGTCCCAGGAGAGCCGTGGCTCTCATGTACATTGCTGGATCGACATAAGGCTCAGGTAAGTATAAAGGGGAGCTGAGGAGGGAGCATCACCCAGAAGGTTTTTTTACTTTCATGTATAGAATACATGAAGGCAAAAAAAATTCTGCTTTTAGAACAACTTTAGGTGTCCAAGAATTAACTGTTTGTTTTTTTTCACTTCTATTATTGAAAATGGTGAAGCTTTAAATAAAATATAGTGTCATCCTTTTTTTTTTTTAAATATTTTGTTGCTATACAATGTTTGAAATGTAGATATGATTTTTATGCAGGGCTGGGATTATGGGAAACATTACGGACACTTTGCATCAATGTTTGCAGTGCCAGGATACAATGTCACTATACAGACTTGCACTTCGATCTGTGCAGGAGTTCATGTCAAGTGCAAAAGAGAAGAACTACATGAGGGAGGTAAGATCATAAAACAATCCATTTAAACAAAATATTTTCTTTGGTGTTATTTATGTCTATCATTGGGTAAAACTCAGCCATTGTGAATCTAACCTGAAAATTGAACTTGAAGGCAAACAATAATAATGATACCTGTAAACCTATCATGTCTTTACCACTGTATGTGGCTGTATCAGGGGTACATAGTAACAAGGATAAAAAAAAGAATTGTATTTCCCAACTACTTAACAATGGGTTACATCTGATAAACACTAGAAGAACAAAAAAAACCTGAAAGATTGCCTTACTAAAACAAACGAGGGTGCAGCAATCTCCCCCCACTGTGCGTTTGTGTTTTGACAGGAGAACTCCTCTACCACCAGAACACACACGTCAGTGCTGGCAGCCATTGGCTGCTATGGCTGATAGAATGCAGGTCAGATGCTCGCTTGCCAACATGCCCGGTCGACAGCAGCTGGTCATGAGACCAGCTTCTGTAGAACAGAGAGCTGTACACATGGGCCAAAAGTCAGCCGGTTGCTGTCGAACCAGCCGATTTCGACCTCGAGCGGTTCAATTTCCGACCCACATGTACAAGCCTTTAGTCTTTACTTCTGCATGCTTTGATTGTTTGTGGTCATATTTGAAATAGTTTTTATATGTGTGTTCAGCTCAGGCAAATTTGATACAGTGTTTATTTTTTTTGGTCAAGGCTTCAACAATGCAGTAGTGCAGTAGCCTTTTTGAATGCCAGCTATGGTACAACAAACTGGTTATCTTCAGGGTTTGTGTACACATGCATTTGTTTGTTTCAGAACTGGTTTTCTTCCCCATACAAATTTATGTAAGTGCAAAAGCAGCTTTAGGTTCCATGCACACTGGGCTTAAATAAAACTCCAGTTCCCTTGGCAGATAAATATGCTCACATGGAGCATTTTTGTACACAAGTTTAGGCGTATTTAGGAGCTTTTAGGAGAGTTTAGGTGCATGCAGTGGTTTTTTTTCTGTCAGGAAATTGCTCCTTTTAAAAAGGGTTTTTTTTTCTGCCTCTAAACGCTGAGCTTAAAATATGTCTCTAAACATCCTAATGTGCTTGAACACATAGGATAACATTGAACTGCTTCTGCAGGCAAAGCCCCTGTTGAAGCAGCATTTTTTTTATGCCAGTGTGCATGGACCCTGAAACAAGTAAAGCTGGCTATAGATGGTTCGTACCTCGGCCGGTTTAGCAAGGATCAGCCAAGATTCTAACCATGTATGGGCAGACTGATTGTACCCAAATTTATTGTTGTATGATTTCGCTACAACCAGCATGTCAGATTTTCCATGCAATTATTGCTAGCAGCTATTATAGCCGCCAGCAGTAATCACTGTGTTCTCCTGGTGGGGAAAGCTTCCCCTGACGGGAAAACACAATAGCTCCGTGGGATGGAATGGATCACAAGGAAAATTGCATCATGTATGGCCTGCCTAAGAAGTAAATCAGAAGCATCTCAAGCACATCTCAAATGCAAGCTGTAAATCGGTTGAATAAAGCTGCATTTACCTGCCTTCATAAAACCTAACACTGATGGATACCGTTGAATGTTCAGCAAACAAGTACAATATCATTTAGATGGCTAATAGTAGTGTTCTATATCAAAATAGCACAGCAAGAAATATCCAAACAAGTTCCCCACTAGAAATATAGTACGTGTTGGACTTCCTAACCAATTACTATATTATACAGTACTCTACATGCTGTTCTATTTGCACCATTACTTTGTTCAATGGCGGTTGTAGACATGATATTATTTTCAGTTCTATCTATGGGCATTGGCATAGAATACCAGGCTTCCTCAGCAACCAGTATGAGAGGAAACCAATTCAGCTAACTGCTATTGTTTATAGGTAAACTGGAGTTGGAGCTGTCCTTTCTGCCTTCTACCTTCTTCATAGACATGAACATGGTAATAATCAGTGTCTAATCCAAGTGTGCATTTGTTAATAGTCTGTGAGGGAAAAAGAATCATCCCAGCAGATGGGTCATGCCTGCACCTCTGAAATATGGAGGCTACCGTTCTAGAATTTCTTCTGAAATAGACAGCACCTTGACTTTTATCTGAAATTGTCAGTTCCTTGGCAGTTATACCTGGTTCTCTGGCTCCAGTACTTTCTAAGTCACTAACCTGGAAAATACATAGGAAGTGACTCAAAGGTGTTTTGAACCACATATTTTGCAATGTTAGACTTCTATTTGTCTATGTGTGTTGGATGGGCTTTTGTAACTTCATTTTCTTTCTTGTCCATTGAGGGGCACATGAATTCAAGTACAGATGGATCATACTTCCATGGCAAATAGAAACATTGTAAGCAAGCCCTCATAAAACCCCTTCTTTACCCAGCATGCCTTTTTTTTTTTGCTAGTATCCTTGGAGATTGGATACCTTTTTGTTTCAGCCTTGCTGAAAAAAGTCACACTATTTTTTTTCAAGCCTTCTTTAATTAGGACAATTTTCACTGCATCTCCAATCAAGTTTCCTTGCTATACTGCTGGTTAAGCTGGTCTCTATATCACATCTACCCAGAGTGGTGTTTCCTCAGCTTAATTTTGAGGCCTTTCTCAGATCCTGCTGAAATGTTCCTGCAGGGATAACCTGGAATGTGACCTTTAGGCATTGAGTTCCACATTGTTGCTGACACAGTACACTCAGGCCTGGAAAGCACCACAGAGTTTTTTTTTTTTTTTTTCAGTGTCCAGAGCCATGGCACAGCCGAAGCTATGACCCTGCCACTGAACACTCACTTTGTATATAAGGCCGATCAAGCTAAAGCTGTTTACATCGCTGAATGCCTTTCATATCTCCCGATACAGCCAGTTTTACCACGGCAAGAGTTAAAGGTGAGGGACTGAGTACTGACATCATCCACTGGGTGGATCGACGCACGTGTGCTTTGTGCTCTCTTTCCCACCATTCAGCCTAGAGGAAACGTCACTCTGCTGTTGCTTAGAAAGAACTGGCACATGTAACCAAGAACGTGTGAACCCAGTTGTTAAAAGGTTGTCATCATTGAATGCTTCCCCGGCTCCATTAGTTGAGGCCGAGTCCTCTCAGCAGTCTGTCTCCTAAAAGTGTTTTTCACTGCAATCTCCTGTTTCAGCCTACTGTTCCAAGCATTGGGTCTTTTAGAGCTTCTTCAGGTGAAAACACCTTTCCACTACTTGCAAAAAAAGGAAGCCTCAGTACACCAGAGAGATCACTTACATCCATCCCTAGTCATAGACTTGGCCCTATTGGGTGAAACATGTTACTGTAATATCAAAGCGTTTGGATGCTTCGTACACTTAACATGAATGTCAATGATCCCTCCGGTGTGTGATGGCTTTCTTTTTTCTATGGGAACACTCGGTTTGCCTTCAGCACCCAGGGTTTGGGTGGCAGATGACAGAAACAGCTTGGAGCAGAGTATTTTGCATTTACCCTTTCCACTACACTCTCTATATGAGACATTCCTCTTTATGGAATGGTAACAACCTGAAGAGTCCTGAGCCCCACCTAAGATTTTATCCGAACTTCTCCCCTTTAAATGTGACTTTGGTGGTCTGTTCCCACTTCAGACACTCCAGTGACTCACCTTAACAAAAAAACTAGACTAGTTGAGGGCATGCTCAACTTTTGGAATTATGCTGACAGGCAGCCAGATTCCCTACTTAAATTCATATTGAGATGATGGTTATGCCTCCTGTCTTGTTGTAATGACTTTAACCTTTTAAAACTGTCAGAATGGGTGGATTCCTTCAAACAGGAACCCGCCTCCTTCAAACAGGAACCCGCCACCTCCAGGTCCGGCCTCTGTTTCATGAAAGGGATTGAGCAAATGTCTGGAGTTTTGTGCGTCTAAACTTTTGCCTTGCATGCAAATGCGCAGAGCACTCCGGCTGCATGTTAGGATGCTGATAATGCATCCAAGCAGCATCTGAGTGAATCAGCATTTGAGGGACGTTGTGTCCTTGGCCCTGCTCCTTATACTGTGATTGGCAATGCCCCCGAAAGCCAGAGTGTACGTCTGCCTGAATGCAAGAGTTCTGCAGAAGGTTTGGAAGGATCCCACCCTTCTTTACCTACATCAGCAGTAGGTACTTGTAGGCTTTCAGAGCCTGACTTCCACTCAGGCCAAAGGGCTTGATGCAAAAGATCTACTCACTCCTCTAAATGAAGTTGCACATCCACGTCAACAAATTGCAGACAGTTTCCAGTTGCTTCTTGTGGACCTTCCAGTGACTGTTGCCCATCCCTCACTTGGGCTGCTTTTGGATGTCCTGATTGTATCTAAATTCCTGTGTCAGTCAGTGGACAAGAAAGCAATTAAGATTTTTGTACACAGCCATGCAATGTGATTGCTGGCAGGTATTTTGTGCCTTGTGCAAACATTTCTTTATGCTGTGTATTCTCTGAAATGTACATTTTCCTGTGTCTTTCCTACAGATTCTTTGCCTTATCAGTGTCAGCCACAATGGTGTGAGTGAGTGCGAACTGATGGAGCTGTGCTCAGGATTAACATGGCCAGTATTAAGTTTTCTGATGTACCACCTACATAAAATGGTTGTGTTAAGATACAGCTGTGGTCTGCTCCAGTTTCAGCACTTACAGGTAATGAAATTACATAGTTCTTGTTTGCTAGAATTAAAATACAGTGCAGTGACCCCATACAAAAGCAACATTTTATCCTAGCTTTTATCATTTTATAACTAGGATCATAAGGCATAGCTAAATGTCATTTTGCCTATTAACCCCAGTATTGCATATAAAAAGCAACTTGGTTGTGGTTTGCATATTCTATGGAGCCAAACTCATGCTGGAATTACGCCAAAGTAGTACAGGAACCTTTTTCAAAATTGAGCCATGCTGAGTTGCATTGGTGTGAATGGGCACCATAGAAAACAATATGATTTTCATTGTCTTGAGAATCTGTGCAATGCAGGGCCATCCTTTATTAGTGATTGGACCCTGGGCAAACATTTTCTTGGAACCCTACATGAAATTTTGCTCTCCCCCTCCTCTGAGACATACAATGAATAGCAGCTAAACTCAAAATCAGTTTACTGCAGCAGAACAGGCAGCAATTGCAATTGATTGCCAGAGGTTACAACATATCATTACCACTTACTGACTGGTTGCTAGAGGTTATATGACACATTACAGCTCACTGATTAGTTGCTAGAGGTTACAGCACATGATTTCTGCTTGCTGATTGGTTGCTAGAGGTTACTGCACATCATTACTGCTCATTGATTGGTTACTAGAGGTTTTTGCAAATCCTTACCGCTCACTGATTGGTTGCTAGAGGCTACTGCACATCATTACTGGTCACTGGTTGGTTGCTAGGGGTTACTGCACATGATTAACGCTCACTGATTGGCTGCTAGGGGTTACTGCACATTAACGCTCACTGATTGGCTCTTAGAGGTTACTGCACATCATTACGGCTCACCCATTGGTTGCTAAAGGCTACTGCACATCCTTACCACTCACTGATTGGTTGCTAGAGGTTACAGCATTTAATTATGTCTCACTGATTGGTTGCTGAAGGTTACAGCACATCATCTCCTCACTGTCTGTACACCGTGGACTGAGAAGGTTAGGGAACCCACCAATGTAAGGTGGAATTTACACTTAAGAATTTATATGTGCTTGTGAGCTACTATGGTAAGTAATTAAAGTGCATTAATTAATTAATCAAATAGAATTGCTATAGTTAAAGCAATCGTGGTTCACTGACACTTAACACTAACTCATATAATTGTGTGTATAAATGAATTTAAATAATAATTATGTGCCGCGCTCCACTCGATAAATAAATAGTGTTTATAAAGTGCAATATGTGCTCAATCCTATGTGATCCATAAAAAACACAAAATATATGAAGCTAATATATAAACAATATAATCAATAAAAATCAACCTGTGACTGTGATAAATTTCTAAAAATATATAAAAAATTGAAATATAATCCAAAAAAAGTCCAATTATTAACATAAAATCCAATACTGTGTTCACTCCGTGATAATTTGCTGAAAAACTGGATATGATTTTCTTATGCGCTCACCTTAATTTTAGCCTAACTGAAAATTAGGCTAAAACCGCTTTTTGTCCTTAAGTGGACAGACGAGGTGTTTTCCAATGGTAGTTTTACATCCAGGAATGGTGAGTTGCAAGTTGTAGTAATTCAAATTTCCCACTTGGGGTCTCTTAGGCTTGCTGATCCCATGTTTGATCAGGATGGGTGGATTTCTCCCTCTGTCCTCCAGGGGTCTTATATTTCCTTTCCCTCCACTCTTTTAATTTTCCAAATTAATGGTGCAAATAAAAGAAAAAAAACATAGTGCCTTATCCTTTTTACCACTTTATTAATGCATCCAATTCCATTCCACTCACATTTTAATTATAATAAAACCGCTTTTAAAAGTTGATTAATCCGCTGTGTGTGCTCTGCACACTGCCTGTACTCGCTGTTTATTCCTGAGTGCGTCATGACATCAGAGCCCCTCCCCAACGCGTTACGCCACTGGGTCACCTGGCTTCATCAGGGGAATACTCTTTAAATGGAATTTACACTTACCACCACCAGAGGCATTGGTGGCTGGAACGGGGAGGCATAATATAGATATGATTTCCTCAGTTACGCCACTATTTACATATGAATGCCACACTCCCGCCGCTATTTACATATGATTGCCGCCACTATTTACATATGAATGCCGTTGTTATTTACATGTGAATGTTGACACCATCTGCACATGTGAGTCATCTGTACATGGCAATAGGGCAGAGCTGGGCAGCAAAAGTGACAGCACTTCACACTGATATATCAGGCACAGCCTGGGACAAAGACTTAAAGGGACAAGGGAATGTAAACCAGTACAGTTGGCAAGTATGGGAAAGCCTTTTAGCACAGAAAATAACCCTCCTTTAACACCCAGAGTGTATCTTGCAGCCCTGAGCTGAGGCAGGACAGTCTCCATAAATGCTGACATGGGGCTGACATTTCTGCTCTTACAGGGAAAGAATATGGGTAACTGAAGAGTTAAATTAAATAATACATAAATATCCATGGGAATTATGGCTGTGTGCAAATCACACAGAGGCTAGCTAAATGTAATAAAATGGTCAGTACTGTGCAACCAAAATCCAAATATTTTCGATGGATAAGATAAAGGTACGTTTGAAATTAAGCATATATCTAAAGGAAATGCATGAGTGATGCAGAGCTGCAAGTGAATCTTGCTTTATATTTTGTCTCTAGGCAGGAGAGGCAGTGAGAATGGAGTATATGCAAGGAGGGCAGAATATTGTCTCAGAGTACAGAGAGAAACTTGTGCAATACTTCAGCATACAACTAAGGTATTGTATATCTACCCACTTTACTTTATGTTTGTATTTTTTGTGTATATAAAATATTGTTACATTATTTTCATTTTAAATCCCTGTATTGTGTATTTCTACTTTTGAATCTGCTATACTGAGGGGTGTATGTATGTTTATGAATTTAGTAAGAACTTAGAGATGTTCCCAAAGAGACTAAAGCCGGACATAGACGATGATAATTTATTTCTTGCAGGAAAGAAAATCAATCAATTCCTCCATTAACACAGTCAATGTTGATGGGGAAATCCCTCCCACAGAGCTATTGTGTTCTCCCAGCAGAGGGGTACTGGGGAGGAGGGATGGGTGTGTGCGCATACACCCCTCAGTATAGCAGATTCAAAAGTAGAAATACACAATATAGGGATTTCTTATTTCATTCACTGTATGACTGAAAGTTTGAACTGAGCCTCCTGATAAGGAGAGCTGAATTACAGTGTAACAGGCTTTCACAACGCCAGGATTACCATAAACTGTACAGCATGTGGAAAGAAGCCTAGATCTACACCTGCTGTCTGGATAAAACACTATGATATTTTGTATATTTCATATTTACATAATTCAAAAATATTTAAATTTTGTTTTTATAGTAGTGACCATAAGAAATGAAAAAGAAAATATTGGATGGCAGAGACGTGTTAGGTAACCATCAAGCTGCTGGAATATTGTAATTATAGTACACTCTACTTGGAGTGTTCTGTGCATTACACTGTGGGAAAATGCAGCCTGCCATATTTTCGCATGCATTATGGTGCATTTCAGACCATTCATTATGAAGGGGCTGTTTAATGCAATGCAATGCAACACGCGTCCGTGCAGGACAACTAATGTGTTGCAGTGCACAGCGTTGTGTTGTGAACGGGGCCCTTCATTCTGGGTTTAACCATTTCAATACCGTGCAATTTTACACCTTCCTGCCCAGGCCATTTTTCAGGTTTCAGCGCTCTCACACTTTGAATGACAATTGCGCGGTCATACAACACTGTACCCAAACTAAAATTTTATCATTTTCTTCACACAACTAGAGCTTTCTTTTGGTGGTATTTAATCACCGCTGGGGTTTTTATTTTTTGCTAAATTAACAAAAAAAGACCAAAAATTTTGAAAAAAAAACAAATTTTTCTTTGTTTCTGTTATAAAAGTTTACAAATAAATAATTGTTCTTCATAAATTTAGGCCGAGATGTATTCTGCTACATGTCTTTGGTGAAAATAACCCAAATTAGGATGTATTATTTAGTTTGTAGGAAAGTTATAGAGTTCACAAACTATGGTATAGATCTGAATATTGATCAATCCTGAAGTACTGACGGCCAATCTAATTTCTTGAGGTCCAAGAATGTCAGAACAGTACAGATATCCCCCAAATGACCCCTTTTTGCAGAGTAGACAGTCGGACGTACTTCATAAGAGGCATGGCGAGTTTTTTGAAGTTGTATTTTTTTGTCATAATTTTTCGGAAAATGAAAAAATTACAAAATTATTTTCACTATTTTTTTTTTTACATACTGTCACCAGTGCGGTGAACAGGGACACTGACTGGTGACAGTATGAAAAAAAAATATATATATATATTTTGTTTTAATTTTATTTTTTTTTATTATTTTTAATTTTTTATTAAATTATTTTTTTTATTTTTTTTAAGATTTTTTTTCATATTTTACTATGACCAAAGTAGTACAATGTTACCATAGTAACATTGTACTACTTTGGGGAAGTGATCAGTATTTTTTTTTTTTTACACACAATTTGCTTATAGCAAAGAATTACTTTGCTATAAGCAAGCATTTACTTGAATGAAATCGATTCATTCAGCTTTTTTTTTTTTTTTTTGTGCTTAGCTGTGATTTGGTCACAGCTAATCACATGACATGTGCATGTGATTAGCTGTGACCATTCACAGCTAGGCACTAGTATACAATGGATGGCATGAATGAAGCCATCCATTGTATACATCTGTCATGTGACCTGCTGTGATTGGTCACAGCAGGTCACATGGTACCAGCAACGGGAGCCGGTACTCGGATCTGTCATCGGCCGTGTCCGAGGTGCACGGCCGGTGACAGATCGCGCTGCTGCGCCGCTCTGCATTAGTGCAAACTGCGCATGTGCGGGAGCATGCCAAATGGTGTACACCCTGAATGCAGGAACACTTTTGAAGCCGCCAAACGGCCATTGGCCGGGCGGCTAATGGTTAAAGTCCACCTAGACATCTATCCTAATAGAGTTTTAATGTTATTCCTCTGTTTTATCCTGGATTTCCTTAAGACAATCCAAAGACATATTGGTAGGTTGATTACCTTCTTCCCAGATTGGCTCTGGTGTGTATTGGTTTTAACAGCTATTGTCATCTGCTGTGTAATGTGGTGGGAGGGATTCGCTTAAACTGGAGCAGACAAAATCTGGAGCAGTTATATAGACTATTTATCAATAAACTTCTAGCATATTCAGTTAGGCTTTAAAAATGAAAGCTGGAAACTGGTTGCCATGCACAGCTACATCTGCTTCTGTCCTCTCCAGTTTCAGTAAATGCCCCTCTTTATGTCTTAGGCCTCGTTCACATCATACGTATAGAAAAACTGATGGAAACTGACGCAGTTTTCACTTGCAGAGACATCATTTTCCATTAGTTTTCATGCACGCTTCAATGTACGTTGCAGATTCCTGCACAAAAAAAAATCTGCAGGTGGTACAGTTGTGTTCAAAATAATAGCAGTGTGTTTAAAAAAGTGAGTAAAGCTCAAAATCCTTATGATACTGCACGGTCTATTCCAATTCAAAACATGAAAAGAAAGTTTCAAATGTGTTATTACTTTACAGAAAATTAGGAAAAAGGAATATTGGGCTGTTCAAAAAAAAATAGCAGTGGGTGCATTTTTCTTTACAAACTCACACATATACTGTTTAAACTGAAAAAATGTTTGAAGATTTAGCTTTCCTGTGAATCACTAAACTAATATTTAGTTGTAAAACCACTGTCTGAGAACTGCTTACATCTGTGTTGCATGGAGTCTAACAACGTCTGTCACCTGTGAACAGGTATTCTAGCCCAGGACAATTGCACTACATTCCACAATTCCTGTGCATTTCTTGGTTTTACCTCAGAAACAGCATTTTTGTTAAGTCACCCCAGAAGTTTTCTATTGGATTAAAGTGGTTGTAAAGTCTGAAGGTTTTTTTACCTCCATGCATTCTATGCATATAGGTAAAAAAACCTGTGTGCATCAGCTCCCCCCAGCCCCCTCAATACATACCTGAGCCTCATTGCAATCCAGCGATGTGAATGACAGCCTCGCCTGTCCAGGGTCTCTGCCTCCTCATTGGCTGAGACAGCAAGTGGGAGCCATTGGCTTCCGCTGCTGTCAATCACAGTCAGCCAGTGAGGAGAGGGACGAGGTAGGGCCAAGCCGTGGCTCTGTGTGTGAATGGACACACACAGCACCTGGTGCCCCATAGCAAGCTCCTTGCTGTGGGGGCACCCAGTAGACAGGAGGAGTCAGGAGAGCCTGCGGGGGACCCAAGCAGAGGAGGATCCAGACTGCACTGTGCAAAACTGCACACAGTAGGTAAGTATAGACATGTTTGTTATTTTACACAAAAATAAAATGGAACCTTTAGAATCACTTTAAGGTCCAGGGATTGGGCTGGCCACTCCATAATGTTGTGTTTAGGGTTGTTGTCTTGTTGAAACACCCAGTTCAGTTAGCCGACTCCCTGACCCCTCACTTGACTAACTTTTTTAACCATTTACGCTAACACTCAGATCTTCTCCCGAAACCTGGAAAAGACCCTCAAGACCCCAATAACTTCAGACCCATTTCACTATTAAATGTGGACTTCAAAATATTGGCAAAAATCCTCGCCACTAGAAATAATTCTTTCTTACACCACCTCATCCACAAAGATCAAGGAAGCTTTGTTCTCCGACAGGCTTCAGACTACACCCGTAGGGTTATTCATCTAATTCACCTGCTCCGACTACACAATTTTCCTGGCATGATCCTGAGCCTAGACATACAGAAAGCATTTGATTTTCTCTCTTGGGAATACATATACTATGCTCTGGAAAAATAGGGCTTCCCACCCGTCTTCATCATGTCCTGGGTGAAGGCCCTATACCATGGACCCTCTGCAACGGTTCGTTATCTCTCCAGACAATCCCCCCCCCTTTCCCTATTCAAAGAGAAACATCCGTCGGGGATCTCCCCAATACTCTTAATTTTAGCCCTGGAACCCTTACTCCATCTCATAAGATCCAACCTGGATATCAAAGGGGTTCCACTTGCCCACCAAACTTTTAAAGTTAGCACTTTTGCTGATGACCTACTTCTAACCCTGACTTAACCACACACCTCCTTACACACACTTTTTTCCATTTTAACCAGATTCTCCAGTATATCAGGTTTGGTAGTAAATGAAGACAAATCTTCAGCTCTTAATGTTTCCCTCCCCAAAGCGGACATTAACTTACTAAAACAAAATTACAATTTTACTTGGCCCCCATGCATCTAGAATACCCGGGGATTAACCTTGCAAACTCCTACTCCTACTATACTCTATACGCAGCCAATTGCATCTCAACTTTCCGCTCCCTCTAAACATCTTTTGCGCTTTATCTGGGCCAACAAAAGATTTCAGGGTAACTAAACACACCATGCTTACACACCGGAAACAGGGTTGCCTGGGGTTCCTAACTTCTCTAAGTGTTATATGGCGGCTCAAATTGCACCTTTAACTTCATTGTACGCAGCACAACAAGCCCCCATCTGGGTAACTTTTAGAAGCACTCTCCTGCCACCCGACCTCCCTCTCTTCGCTTTTATGTCTCCCTCCGAAAACCAGACCCACATCTCTTAGCCCCCTTATGGCCCACTCAATGTGCATATGGAACTCCACAAAATACTCTAGTGGTCTAATCTCTCCCACTTACACACTACTCCCCTTCGTGGGTAACCCCCTATTCCCACCTGGCCTTGAATC